CCACCCCACCATCCCCCCACCCCCGGTTCAGATGTCTATAGAGGAGGAGCTACGTAGTTCTCAAGAAACTGAGTCCACCTCACTGACATCAGAACAAACCACCTAATCAACCCATTCCTGGACCCACTGGCCATCAGGATTGGCTTAACTATGTTCATGTGACTTAAGCCAGACCAATCAGAGTGAAGGTCAGGAATTGGTAGGCGGGGCACCTATTTCCAATACGTTCTTCCTTTCCTTCTGCAAGCAATTAAAAACTTGAACTTCTGGAGGAGCAGGATGTGTGCAGCACCCGTTTATATAGGATAAAGCCCTGAGCATCCATGTTCCAATGTCCTATTTCAGTCTTAGGGCAGAGTTCATGCATCCAAAGCTTGTGTAAAGATCATGTTCTGTCAGAATCAAGATCCCCAGGTTCTCCGCGGCCCAGAACAAACGGCAGAGAGGGGGTCCTCACCCAAGGAGGCCAGGTTCTCATAGTTCTCCAGCATCACTTCTTTGTACAGATCCTTCTGAGCAGGCTCCAGCTGCTGCCACTCCTTCTGGCTGAAGTACACAGCTACATCTTTGAAGACCACCGGTTCCTAAAACACCAAAGCCCCACCCCTGTTCACACATGTGGTTTTCTCTTTCCCTTGGCCCAGAAGAAGAGGTGCAAAGAGATCGGAATTTGGCTTGTGTTCAGAATTTTACATGGTGGCAGACTACAGAGATGGCCTTGGTAGCTCTTTGCCGTGTCTGTGTGTGTGTGTGTGTGTGTGTGTGTGTGTGTGTGTGTGTTGGTTCATTTGGGCTTTGTTTTTTTGTTCTTGTATTTTAGTTTATGTGTATATGTATTTTGCAGGCCTGATGTCCTCAGAGCTGCCATAAGAAGGGGTCATATCCCCTGGAACTGGAGTTATAGGTGGTGGTTAGCCACCATGTGGGTGCTGCAAACCAAACCTGGGTCCTCTGAGAGCAGCCAGTGCTCTTGACCACTGAGTTATCTCTCCAACCTCTGTTTTTGTCTAGTTTTTTGTTATTTTTGTTTGGGGTGTGTGTGTGTGTGTGTGTGTGTGTGTGTGTGTGTGTCGTACCTTGTGTATGCAGGTGCCTGTGGAGGCCAGAAGAAAAAGAGTCTCAATGAGATCAGGTTGACTTGTGGGAGATTGTCTTAACTGAGTTAATTAAGGTGGGAAGACCCACCCTGAACATGGGCAGCACCATTCTAGGAGCTGGGTCCTGGACTGTATATGGGTAAGTGAAGGCTAGCTGAATGTTACAAAAGCAGGCAGTGTGGGTGCCTTCCTGTCTCTTTACTCTTCCCTGAGGATGTGATCCTTTACGTTCCTGCCTTGACTTGCCCACAGTAACAGACTGTAACTCGACATTATGAGCTAAATAGACCCTCACCTCAGCTGCGTTTTGTCAGGGTGTTTATCACAGTAACAGAAATGACACTGGGATAGTGTGACCATGCAGTGCCTTCCCATTCTGAACCTGGTTTGGTTAATGGCCTTGGGTTGGCTAGTGGGTTACTGGTATCTGTGACATAAGCAAAAGCTTTAAAACTAGCTTGATAATCAGGGGCTAGAGAGATGGCTCAGTAGTTCAAGAGCACCTATTGCTTTTCCATAGGACCCAAGTTCAGTTCCCAGTACTTAACTCAATTGGCTCACAACCATCTGTAACCCCAGCTCCAGGGAGAGATGATACCTTCTTCTGGCCTGTTTAGGTACTGCATACACATGTACATACACAGTATGGTGTTCACATGCCCTACTGACCCCCCCCATATACACAATTAAAACAATCATCTTTTTAAAATGCATGATAATCAACACTGTTCTTGCTGTGCCCCTGTTGGTGCTAGGTGATTAGCCTTCTTGAGTATGAAAGAGTTGCAGTCAAATCCTTCAGGATCCCAGAGAAGCTAGCTTAGATGAATTAACAACCAGATTGTCCCAGACATAGAAATGAGTCATCTAACTTCTCCCTTGTTGATGTGCATGCCTGAAGTTTTAAGGATGTTTGTTACACAGCACAGCTGTGGCAACAGCAAACTGCAGCAGGCACATTATAAATATATTAAAAATGTAAATGAATGAATGAATGAATGTTATGGATTGTTGGAAACAGCAACATTTGGAAGAAGGTCTTGCACATCAGTTGTTTGTCCATTTGGGAATCTCCCAGTTTACCTATCTGTGTGGTAGACACCAGTGATAGTTAGGAACATAGAGCCAGCCACCAGACTTCCTGGAGTTGAAGCCTAGCTTGGCTACTTACTACCTGTGTGGTCTTGGACAACTGGTTGAAGCTCTCTGTGATGATGGTTTTGTAGGATCTACAACAAGGATAACTAACCTATCTTTTGGGGTTGTTATGGAGATGAACTGGTTAAATATAGGTGAAGAAATGAGAAGTTGCAGCAGCCTCTTTCTTCTGTAAAGGAAATGGCAAACTCCCTGTCAGTGAACCTCTAACCCCATCAGACTCCCTAGGTAAATGGGGTACCTACTATCCTCACTTCCCCAGGGAAGTGTAGTACCTCAGGTTGCCAGGCTCTAGGACATCAGAGCATTATGGGTATAATCAATAGACCTCAAATAGATTGTCTTCTTCCACTGCACCCTAGGAGTCCCATATCCCTTCCCCAAAACCCCAACACACACACCCTGGAATCAGGGACAGCCTGGTGGTGGAGTCCTGCTGTGAAACCTCCCCCTTCCTTTGATATCTGTAAGAAGGGCCCCTGCCCCTAACTCTGCCTCATGGGCTTGAACTCTCCTCAGAGCCCTGACCACATTGCTGACTGCCTGTCCATGGTGTTAACAGCCCAAAAGGACAATCTGCCTCAGTTTCCCCCTTGAAACCACAACCCCCCCAACTTTTCAGGGTCCACCAATCATCACATTTGTTGAGAATGTCCCCCATAGGCTCCAAGTCTTTGAATACTTGGTCCCAGTTGGTGGCACTGTTTGGGGAAGATAATGGAATCCTCTTCATTCTATAAATTGCCTTGGTCATGGGGTTTTATCACAGCACCAGAAAAGTAACTAAAACAATATGTCAGTCAACCACAGACAGATGAAGAAGAGCAGACAGGGGATGAACAAGTAAATTCATGGTATATTTCCAGGTAGTTATAACTGCTCTACAGAAAATGAAGCAAGGGCTGAAAAGACAGCTCAGCAGTTAAGAGTGCTTGCTGCTCTTTCAGAGGCCCCCTAGTTAGATTCTCAGCACCCACATCAGGTGGCTCACAACTGCCTTGTAACGCCATCTCTACGGATCTGACTCCCTCTTCTGGCCTCTGTGGGTACTGCACACATGTGGTGTACATATCCATGCACAGACACATAATTAAAAAGAAAATAAATCTTTATAAACAGAAAAATGAAACAAACTGAAGGAAGAGAATGATGAAGTTGGTTTCATCAAATCAGAGACAGGAATTAGGAATGAGTGGTGATATCTCTACAGAAAATCAGCCCTGAGCACAGGAAGGGTCTCTTAAAGGTGCTATTATAGTGGCAGGAAGCCACTTGGGAAAACTCTGGTTGAGTGAATTGAAATCTCTAGTCTGGATGAAGACCCAACTTCGCAGTTTTGCTGGGTCAGTCACTTGGGCATAGGGTCACCCCTAGGAAGGCTGGGTTCACTTAAAGTCACAATAAATAGACAGGCAAAATACCTCATGTGTAAATGAGGTGGTGAACTTTTCCAATCCAAAATCCAGCTCTTTAGTGCAGTGCTCACAAACCCAGTCACAGACATGAGCTCTTCGAAGTTCTCTTCTTCTTTTTGTTTGGCAGGTTCTCCTTAGCTCCAACCAGCCTACATAGACCAGGCTGGCCTCCATCTCACAGATATCCGCTGGCCTCTGCCTCCTGAGTACCAGGATTAAGGGTGTGTGCCACCACATCCAGCATCTTTTCTTCTTTATCTCCCTTTCCTAACCATGCTTTCCTTAACACTCTGGGATGCCCCAACATCTTGTATTTCTTTACCTTCCCTCTAAAGCTCCATTCCCCTCCCCACCATGTTGTTTCTGGTCTGCCATGTGTCTGGTCTCCAGGCCGGCTCTAAACAGGCATGGTTTTATGGATTTTTATTTCCTTCTCTCCTCCTCAAGGCAGTTGCTGAGATTTATGTCTTGCCTGCCCTGTGGAATTTTCCTTAAATTCTACTAAAACTGTCTTAACGCTTCTGTTGGAGTCCATTCTTAAATTCTTTTATGAATGAGACTAAGAACCTAAAAGTGGCCCTGATTGTCCTCTTGTATTAGTGCAGTATCTGCAAGGCAGAACCTGACCTGGGCAGGAGGGACGGGACTATCCCCACCTTTTCCAAACCAAGCTAGCCTTTGGTCAAAGCGAGAAACACCTTACCTTGCACCATGTTGGTAGGGGTGTGGCTGACATGCTTTCGTTTTCTTCTGAGGGCTGGTTTGGTGTCTGGTTTGGATTCTTTGAGAGCTGGTTTGGAGTCTGATTGCAGTTCTTAGAGGCCCGGTTTGGTGTCTGATTGGAATTCTTTGAGAGCTGGTTTGGTGTCTGATTGTGATACTTGGAGCGGTTTCGTGTCTGATTATGGTTCCTTGAAGATGGAGCTGGTGGAGGAACAGGGAGTCATGAAGTCATTCTGGCTTTTAAGAGTTGGAAAACCCATTTGTAATAAAACTTTAGTGAGGAAAGAACTGACAAGAGCTAATGTACATGTATGAGTATGTACTGTGCTCCAGGCATGTATTTGATTTTTCAGAACAACTCTAGAAAACATAAAACAAAAGCCTGAATGGTTTACAAAGTAAGCCACCACATGTGTATGAAAAGCATACCTAGATATCTATCTCTACATAGTAATATACATCCACATACACTTTTCATATATTTGTTATGCATTATGAAAAATATATAATAATGTATATAAAACTGATGCATACACAAGTTCCTGGTCATATGAATAGAAAGATTTCTGAGACAGCATGAGTAACTGGAACACGCTTCCTCCGTGGAAAGATCTAGATAGTTGAGGACAGACAACATTACCTTTAAATGTGAAGTAGAGGGAGAGAACTGAATTCTGTAAGTTCTCTCACCTCCACATGTGTGCCATGGCAGAGAGAGAGAGAGAGAGATTGTTGAATGTCATCCAGGCTGGGGGTACAATGACAGTGGTTAGGGCAATGTATGTTTGCACAAAGGCTTATATATGACTGCTCAGAAATAGGTAAAACCTGGGAAGGAACCCACAATGAACACTTGAGAGATGGGTCCATTCATGCTGTGAAATACTATGGTCAAATGAAATTTATGAGAGGTCATTCAGATTTACGTTTCCACACTAGTCCCAATGTACCCTGCCAAACCAGGATAAAGGGGAAATTGTGCAAGATGCTAAAAAAATCAAAGTGAATGTTAAAAGAGACCAATTAAAGACAGATGAGAGAGAGAGAGAGAGAGAGAGAGAGAGAGAGAGAGAGAGAAATGTTGGATGACTTCTTTTACAATATGGACAGAATCTGGACTATGACTTTTAACCTTGCACCAAAAAGCTTCTGTTTATAATGTAAACAAGCTCACTGAGCCTTGTGCTCTTCTGACTTGGACACCTGACCTTAATCTCTCAGGACCCCACTTTGCCATCCACCCTCTAAGAGAGTGAATGAATGAGGGGGCACCTGATTATCATATCAAAACTCTGAAATAGGTGTGGTATTCTCATTGTAAAAAGTGGGACTAACTGAGAAGTCTGCTTGACAGTGTGTGTGTGTGTGTGTGTGTGTGTGTGTGTGTGTGTGTGTGATGTTTTCGACCTACAGATCAGAAGGCAAGATTCTCTGATAAGGGCGGATCCTAGCTTCCACTTCCAAAATTGCTGCCGGAAAGACTGCTTCAATAAAAATACGTATAAAAATAAAACTCTGGAGCACGGTTCCATGAGACAGCCGAAGGAACGGGGTTCTCAGAGTTTGAGTTCACTCTTGACCTTAAAACTAACACTAAGGGGCTGGAGAGATGGCTCAGAGGTTAAGAGCACTGTCTGTTCTTGCAGAGGACCCTGGTTCACTTCCCAGCACCCAGGTTGTAGCTAACAACAATCCTAACTCCAGTTCCAGGGGATCCAATGTCTTCTTCTGGCCTCTGTGGACATTGCAGGCATATAAGCAGGCAAAACACTCACACACATAAAATACAAAATAAAATCTTAAAAAGCAAGTACGCCAGCTAAGCATGGTTCCTGCCTTGGCTTCCCTCAGTGAGGGACTGTGACCCAGAAGTGTAAGCTAAACAAACCTTTACCTCCCCTAAATTGCTTTTGGTCAGTGTTTTATCACAGCATCAGAGCCAAACTAGAACAGCTCCTCCTGTTGGCTGTCATCACCACTGCCGTCTATGATCCCGCAGTCCCTTCACATAGCAGTTGCATATGATGCTGGCCAAGATATAGTTTCTAGGTCTCAATAAGGAACCTGGGAGACTGCTAGCTCTGAAGACACACCCTTATCTGTGTGGTCTAATATCTTGGGTATTCCACTCAACCTTTTCTATCCCAGGAGGATTCCAGGGGCAGAAATTTGGACGTGAAGGAGGCGCTCGAGACTAAACTTGTGCCATAATCAGGCTTACATTTTCCCAAACCTTGAGCCTCTCACCTGGATCGTGCCAGGACTCAGTCTTCCTTGATGAGGTCCTCTTTCTCTTCATGATGAGAAATTGAAGTGTTGTGTGAAATACTGTGAAGTTGACTAGGTAAGGGCCGTTGAGCCGGATGGTCTGGTTTCGAATTCTGAGCTCCGCAGCTGGGTGGTCTCAGACAGGAGACATTACCTCGTCAATGCTCCATGACCTTAACTGGAAAGCAATGTCAGCCAGGACTCTCCTAGAAGGTCAACAGGATGGTCAGTGGAGTGTCCGGCATGGTGCCATGCTTGGCAAGAGCCAGTGGCTGTGGAATCCAAAGTTGGGATGGGGTCTCACTTCTTTTTAAAAAATTTTTAACATTTTGGGGGAGTGTGCCACAGTGCACTTGTGCAGATTGGAAGACAACTTTCAGGAGTCTGTTCTCTCCTTCCACCATGTGGTTTCCAGAGATCAATTTTAGATCGCCAGGGTTGGTATCAAGTGCCTTTACCTGATAAACAATCTCACTGACCCAACAGAGTCTATGTTTAAGAAAAAGACAGGCTGGGCACCGTGGTACATGGTTTTAGTCCTGGTACTCGGGAGGCAGAGGCAGGTGGATCGCTGTGAGATTGAGATCAGTCTGGTCTACACAGTGAGTTCCAGTCCAGCTGTGACTATAGGGAGACCCTGTTTCAAAAAGACTGAAAAAATATATAAAAATAAAAGAAATTTTAAAAGTTAAAAATGGGGGAAGGACTGGAAGAGATGGCTTAATGGTTAAGAGCACTGACTGCTCTTCTGAGAACCCAGGTTCAGTTCCTAGCACCTGGCAGCTAACAGCCATCTGCAACTCCATTTCCAAGGGGACCTGACATCTTCTTCTGGTTTCTTCCGGAACTGAATGCATGGGTGCACTTACATACATGCAGGCAAAACACTGATACACATTTTAAAAATTAATTAATCAGGAAAAAAAAGAAAGAAAGGGGCTGGTAAGATGGATCAGTGAATAAAAGAACTTACCACCAAGCCTGATGACCTGAGTTTGATTCCTGTGGCCCACATCATGGGAGAGAACCAAACCAACTTTTACAAATTGTCCTCTGACCAACTCTCTCTCTCTCTCTCTCTCTCTCTCTCTCCCTCTCCTCTTTCTCTCTCTCTTTCTCTCAATAAATATAAAAGAAAGAGAGAGAGAAAGAAAGAAAGAAAGAAAGAAAGGCAGAAGCCTAGCTTAGTCCTGTAATCCCAGACATTTGGGAGGCTGAGGCAGGAGGATCAAAGAAAAAAAGTATGGAATTTGCTGATCCCAAGATGAGATCCAAAATATCTTTGGTCCCACCCTAACAACATGAAAACCAGGAAGTCATAGAGGAAAAAGGACTCATGGCTTGGGTAGAGATAAGCTTTTTGAAGGGTTTTCTGAAACCTCATAAGAAATTCCTTCTTGTCCCACACCCCCACACACACCACACACTGTACACACCTTGCACATGGGCACATATTTCTGTAATGAATTTTTATCTTTAACATCCTGACATGCTCTGACAGAATACTTTCTTACAATGAGGGGTGCTAACTCCTCCCTCAGAGCTCCAAAACCAAAGACCTTTGTACCTGAGGAGCATACATCAATTTCTCCCTTGTCTTAGTTTTTTTTACATGTCTGTCTGAGTGTGTGTGTGCACTTATGTATGCACACATGCACGTAGTACCTGAAAAGGCCAGAAGGGGGCACTGGATTCCCTTAGAGCTGGGGTTACAGGCAGTTGTCAGCTGCCCAACATGGATGCTGGGAACGGAACCTGGGTCCTCTCTTAGAGCAGGAGGCATTCTTAACCACTGAGCCATCTCTCCAACTCCAGATTTCTCCCTTCGCTACCAATAAAAGAATTTCTCTTTGCTTCAGCCTTGAACACACTCATAATTTATTATAGCACATGTATCAAATAAAAACATGCCTCTTTGGGAATTTCCTCTTTGAGATGGCTCATTATGAATATGAAAGTGTTAGGGAAAACTCTATAAATCAAATCAGCCTCTGGTGCCTGGAATACAGCCAGCACTCAGTAAAGACAGCTCTTAATAAGCATTCAAATTCCCCTGTCATTCTAACCCTGCTCTACAGTGATGTATTAAAACTCCATGTCCAAATTGCAGCTCTATTACTGGCCCTCTCCAAACCTGTGGTGGACTTTAAGCCCCAAAGTGCTAGGTAAAAAGTATCAAGAGGGTGGAAACGGACTACAGTGTTTAGACTTGGGGTTTTATGGAAATGATTCGATTGCAGTGGAGCCACATCATGAAATCCTCTTTATTTTTGTCATTTTACTTTATTTTATTAAACATTTTATTTATTTTTATTTTATGTGTATGAGTGTATTGCCTGCATGTATGTGAGTGCACCCATGTCGTGTAATGACCATGAAGGTCAGAAGAAGGCATTAGATCCCCTGGAACTGGAGTTATGAATTGTTGTTAGCTGCTGTATAGGTGCTGGGAATTGAACCCGGGTCCTCTGCAAGAGCAGCCAGTACTCTTAACCACTGAGGCATCTCTCCAGTCCCTATTTTTGCCATTTAAATTATTTTTTTATCTATTTAATTTTTTTGGGGGGTGGCCATTCGCCACAGCACATGTGTGTAGGTCAGAGAACAACTTGTTGGAGTGAGTTCTCTCCTTCCACCACGTGGGTCCCTGGGAGTTGAACTCAGGCCACCAGTTTGACAGCAAGCACCTTTACAGAGTGAGACATTTTGCTGGCCCATGCAGTCCTCTTTAGAAGGAGAAGGAGAGAGACTCACAAAGAGATACACACACACACACACACATTCCCACCATAAGACAACGCAGCTAAGAGGGACCTTGCTGGGAACCTGACCATATTTTTCAACATTCAGACTCCAGACTTGTGAGTCAAATGCTTGTTTATAGCCTGCCTACAAAACACCATCTTTCCCTTCTTTTTTGCGTGTGTGTGTGTGTGTGTGTGTGTGTGTGTGCATGTGCTGTGTGTCTGTGTGCATCTTTGCATATGTGGGGGTGCACATGTGTGTGTATGTGTATGGAACCTCAAAGTTGATGTGAGGAGTCTTCTTTGATTGTTCTCTACCTTATATAATGAGGAAGGGTCTCTCACTGAACCCAGAGCACACAGCTTTGGCTAGTCTGCTAGATAACTTACTCTGGGAATTATCCGTCTCTCATTCCCCACCCCCTCCTGACTTTTATGTGGGTTCTGGGGATCCAAATGCTAGTCTCATCCTTTGCAAGGCTGAGCCATTTCTCCAGCCCCTCCCAGTTTTTTGTCTGTGAGACAGTTTCTTGTATTTCAGGTTAGCCTTACACTTGATATAGCCAAGAATGACCTTAAATTTTTGAGCCTCCTGCCTTTGCCTCCCCAGTGCAAGGAATATGGGCATGTACCGCCCATGCCCAGTTTATGCAGTGCTGGGGATCGAACTCAGTACTTCATGCATGCTCTACCAACTCAGCTACACCCTGAGCCCAGTATTTGATTAAAATAAAGAAAAATACTAATACTCTTCATCCAGACCTTGAGCAAATAAGCCTGCTTCATCTTTCCTGAGTGCCCCTGACTCTGAAATGGGAGCATTATACAATTCCTTTTCAGGACTTCCATGAAGATGGATGGACCGATCCGTGAGCCTCTTATCCTCACACCACATGGGGAAAAGTTAACTCTGCAGCAAGGGTGGTTGTAACACGACTCTACTGTGAACTCCCCGGCCTCCCCCTAAATATTACTGGAAGTGAAGACGTACAGACTTGAGTTGGTCTGCCTGGGGGTGAAGGCAGTGTGATTCCCAGCTGACCACTCTCTCTAGCAGTGAGGCCTCAGGGATATAGTTGCCAGACAGGATAAATAAAAGTGCATGGAAAACAGTGAAGTTTCGGGTAAGCAGAATAATAATTTTCAATTATAGATATATCTCTAACTGCTATTTAAGGCATGCCTATGAAAAAATGTATGTCTATGTGTATACATGTGTGTGCATGTGTGTGCATGTGAAGGTCAGAGGGCAACCTCTGGTATCATTTTTTAGGAGCTGTCCACCTTGTTTTCTGGAACAGGACATCAGGTAGGTTGACCGGGGTCCAGGGGATGGACCCACACCCAAGAGCATTTGGGGAACACTAGACTCAAAAAGCCTTTAAAAAATAGAGGACATGAAGTTGCGGGTAGAGAGGAGGGAGTAGATCTGATGGGATGGGAGAGATAGTGTCTACATATGATCAAAATATGCTGTATGAAAAATCTCAAAGAACTGATGAAATACTATTTAGACAAAACAAAACAGTCTCTCACTAGAACCTGGAATTCACTGATTCAGCTAGGCTAGCTGGCCAAGTCCCAGGCATTCTCCTGTCTCTTCAGCACTTGGTTTATAAGTACATGCCACTATGCCTGGATTTTATGTGGGTACTAGGGATAGAACTCAGGTCCTCATGAGCTTGAACAGCAGGGATATTACTGGCTGTGTCATCTCCCCAGCACCCCAAAATACTTAAAAATATATTTAATAAGTTGTATTTAAATACACATATATGTGTGCCCCCACATAATATTTGATAATTACTAAACCATAATTTACTCTTTATCTGAAATTCAAATTTAAATGGGTATTCTGAATTTCAACCCATAATTTGAGTATTGACTGTTTATCCTTTCTACACCTTTTAAAAATATTTTATTATTTTTATTTTATGCATATGAGTGTACTGCCTGCATGTACATAAGTGCATCTGTATCATGCCATGCCCGCAGAAATCAGAAGAGAGTGTCGGATTCCCCTGGGAACTGGAGTTACAGATGGTTGTTAGCTGCCATGTGGGTCCTGGGAATCGAACCCAGGTCCCCTGCAAGAGCAGCCAGTGCTCTTAACCACTGAGCCATCTCTCCAGTCCCTCTTTCTTTACTTTTTATTCCCCAGCCCCAAATAACTATTTTAAAATATATGGAATAAGTTGTTTTTAAGTACACATGTGTGTGTGCATCCTATATAATATTTGATAATGGCTAAACAGTAATTTACTGTTTATCTGAAGCTCAAATTTATATCGGTATATGTATTTTAACTGATAAATTGAGTACTGGACAGGATGTTTAACCTTTCTATACGTTTTACTACAAAAAAAAAAAGAGAACAGAAAA